TCGGTACCAGAAATACATGTAGTTTCATGTAATTTATTATTCCTTAACAAATTAGCAAACATAAAAAATAGTGTTTCCATAGCACTATTATTATTGATAAATAATGTTGTCAAAATTTGAAATAAATAAATAAATTTTTTGTTTAGGTATAAACATTTACTAAAATACAATTAAAATTATGTAAAATATTCTACTATACAAATAAAATGTTTTAATTTTTGAAAATGTAATCATATAACTTATTTAACATGTCCATTGAACAGACAAGTACATTTCTAGTTAGGAAGTGGCTATTATTTTCATTATGTTTGCTAATGTATGTGTTTGCTTTCATGTATATTGTTATTTTAGCAATGTATATTGACATGCTAATTAATCAAAGTCCACCTCAACAAACCTGGGTAAGTTTGCAATTTTATAAAATAATTTATATATATTTTATACTAATAAAAATATTATTTATTATAAGGGTTGGCTAGCTACATTATTAGTGGTAATTGTAATATTTAGCGTGATAGTCCCGACTCTGGGCATATTGGCTACATTGCAACATCATTATGGGTCAGCTATTGCATTTGCCATTTTAATGACCCTGGTCACTGTTGGCACAATTATCAACGTGTTTCACAGAATAAGTGGTTTACCAATATTTATGTTCACAATTTTTGTTACAATTATTGGCTATTATTTTGCAAATGATTGCAATAAGATCAGAGTGACCAGATTGCAGTGTGGCCAGGATCAATGGAATTATGTACCAGCTACAATGTACAACCTAACCCCTACTGGGGCACCATACTCAAATTCTGATATTATGGGAGTACCCGGGTTTCATCCAAGAAATGGATATGATCATTACACTATTGCTAATCCTATGGCTATTAATGATCAAGGTTATTTGGGACGGCCCGTTACTGGTCAGACTGTATTTTCTGTTGAGGGTTTAAGATCTGAGCATGTACAATTTGGTAGTCACTATGATATAGCTGGACATAATTCAGTTATCGTACCTAAAATGCAAACTGACCCTGATGATCAGCCCCCTTCGTATGAGACTGCACTGCAATACTCGAGAAACTTTTATTAATACGAGTTTAATTATATAATATATAATATTTTTTTGTATTATTTTTTTCTGTATTGTTATTGTAAGTTATAATTGAATTTTTCTAATTTATTATTTATATTATTATTATAAATACTATTAGTATCAATACAAAATATTTAAATGTCAATAGGTTATATTACACAGCTAGCATAGAGACATATCTACCAGGAACTCATTGTAATGTTAAGTTTAATTAATAAATGACATTTATTTTTTACAGAAAACAAGTCATTTAGATATTTATTTTCTATATCTATTTTATTTATTATTAAAACTGAGATTATTTTTTGAAAATACTTTGGAAAAACATAATTTGTTTACGCAAAATTGGTAACATGGACAGAATCTATAAAACAGATAATGAACATATGACCAGGTCATTTATATTTAAAAAATGGTTGTTATTTCCATTGTGCTTAATTGATTTCATTTATGGTGTAATATTTATTTTTATAAGCATTGATATGTTACTAAACTCACCGGAATCATCTCAAGTAATTTCAAATTTTTTAACTTAACATTTTGTTATTTAATTATTATTTTTTTCTAGATAACCTTAATTGCAATAATAATAACATCTATCATGATAAACATGGTGGTCCCGGTTATTGGCATAATTTCGATTATTAAGGAAAACTATAAACTAGCAACAATATTTATTATTATATTAACCATAAACACTGTCCTAGTTAGTTATTTAGTTTTATATAGCTTTTCATATCTACCACCTGCTATATTTAAAATTATTATTTTAATTATATCAATAGTATTTTCTTATAACTGTTATATAAATAAAGTTATCAAGCTTAGATTACAAGAACGTGAAAGTAATAATAGTCTTTTTTATATAAAATCATATAATTTAAATGAACTTGAGTCTAGCACTGAGCAATGCTATATAACTGGCAAAAGACCGAGGGTGAAACCCAAAAATGTTGAACCTAATTAATTATGTAAAACATTTTTTATATTTGTAAAATTTGAATTTTAAAAAATATGACTAAATTAAAAGTGGTTTAAAAAATAAATATTATTTATTTATCTAATTGTCACTATTAGTCCAAAATGTTTTTTAAAATTAAGTATTTATGTGATTTATAAAACATAAAAATTATTTTATACATATTTTACAAGTACAGTAGTTATGTAATATATTTGTACTTTGCAATTAAATTAATTCAATAATACTTTATCTTATTTATATTTAATTATAAATTATATTGTGAAAATGATCTAGTATTGTACCTACTTGTTTTTAAATTTACATTTAATTTGTTTCAATAGAAACACAATGTGTAACACGCCTAACACAATTTACTTTAAATATAATATTTACATTGAAATGAAACTTTTACTTTAATTTTATGTAAACTTATTTATTAAACATAAAATTAGTACATTTTACTCAGAGACATTTTATTTTATTATAAATAAAATGAAGTACTTTTTAAATCGTTAAAAAAATTAACTAAATATTTATTGTCAGAGATATTACTGTCGGATAATCTGTTTACAAAATTTTAAACAATATATTTTTGATAACTATAATTTTTAACTATAGATAAATTATGTTAGATTAAGTTTAATAATAAAGTATTTGATTATGTTTTATTAAATTTAAATTTTTGCATAACAAATTTATTTAATGATAATAAAATATTTTTGTATAATATTATTTTGTAAATAGATTTATATTACTTTTACATATTTCTATTATTTAATGTGATATACTATTATTTCATTATCAGTGCCACATATTGATTCATTTTGTATGTCATTTATAGATTTTAAACATTACATGTATTTTAATGTACCATAAAAAACATAAAACATAAATATATTGTTTTCATAGTATTATAAATAATGAAAATAATTTTTATATAATATTATCTCAACTGAAAATTAATGTACTAGTATATGATATTTGTTATAAATTTTTATAATAATTTTTTGTTTAATAAACTAGTTAAATATTTGAAAATGTTAATCAACAAACAAAATCTTTTTTAGTTAAGAAGTGGTTATTATTTTCATTAATTATTCTAATGTACGGCATAGCTTTAATTTATACCTTGATCATTTACAAGTATTAAAAACTCCATCCATATTAGACATGGGTAAAATTAACTCGGCTTAAGTCTTTATGCATTACCTACCTAAGGTTTTATATCAAGCATTTACAATCATACAAGCATCTTGAGCATTTAACGTTTGTTTTAGTTTTAAAATACATTTATAATACTGTATAATTTTAATGTTTAAAATGTTGATACTGAATATAATAAAATAATCTGATAGCTAAAATTAAAATGAAATTTGGCAATGTTTATTAATTCAAATGAATTCAAACTCAAAAATTATATTTTATTCATATCATTAGGAAGTATATATAATTGGTTATTTATAATAGTAATACAAATTAATTAAGTAAATAGTTGTGTAATTTAAAAACTTAGAGAAATATTAAAAATGCATAGGAATATAACAGTCTATTTAATTATAATAAAATAATTTTGTTTTATTATTATTTTGTAAATCTATTTATATTAACATTTCATAATTTTTATTATTTGACGTAATATACTAGTATTTAATTATGAGTGCCAAATATTTATTATGTTACGGATCTCAAGGGGCCTCACCTATTATAAGCTTGATAATGGCGTCAATGAATGGGTGCACCGATGGATGAATTAGCCGTCGATTTGGTGTCAAATAAATAACAAATAAATGTATTATTGATTGAATGCCTCGTGTTTTGACTTTGCATTGTCCTCTACAACCTTTTTGGAGGACAGTTCCCCCTTCAGGCCAATTGGAGGGGAATCCTCCGGAGTGGAGGAGGTTTGGCAACGCTAGGCATAGGCATGTTTTGTGTACAACTAAAACTACTTGTCATAGTAAAGCAATTAGCGAATCGTTTAATAACTAAATTCATATATAATAACTAAAGATCACTGAGTAAATCAATCAGGATTATCCTGGTAATTTTCTCATTAGATAGTTAAACAATATTTAACAAATTAAGTGAATTAGTTGTCAAAGTTTTGTTCACTTTTCGAATGAATTGGCGTTTTATATAAATAGGAATTGAGTTGAAAGTGAAGTCCATATGATTTACGTTCAATGTTATGATCGCATTGACTGCGAAAACTCATTCAAGTCTCGCGTATGCAGTGATCAGCTGTGCCTCCAATACGAGTCAATACGAGTCAATACACGTGGCATTCAATCAATAATACATTTATTTGTTATTTATTTGACACCAAATCGACGGCTAATTCATCCATCGGTGCACCCATTCATTGACGCCATTATCACCGAAAGTCATGTCCAACAGACGGCAGTGGATATCAAAAGCTGAGGACGTGGCCGATGAGGTCTGTACTTAATGCGCGGCTATATCTCACACCCTAAAGACTCACCAAATAGATCTAAACTTAAATAGCTAACTGACCACTGACCATTTGACGTAATTTTGGTAATGTTAGGTTAAGACACATTAGTTATGAACTAGAATTGTTCGATATACCTTTCACAAATATAGTTAAATTTTCTTGGTCGTTTATGGACTAATCATTTGTCATTGAGCCTGTAGTAAACCATATTTTAAAATAACATATACACGTTAACCTATAAACGACCAAACTAATGTAACTATATTTGTGAAAGGTAAATCGGACACACCTATTCCAATGATCAAATTATCTATATTTCTACGAGTTAGTTAGTTATTTCAGTTTAGGCCTTTTGGATTAACGAGTTAGACGTTTAGGATTTTAGGCCTATTGGGTTTCATTTGGGTAAACCCCATGTGTACATACACTTAAGATACCATCGAGTCTTATGATTGATATGTGGATCACTAATACACTGTTGTTTGTGTCCACGAATGGATCAGGTGTTCCGTCGGTCGAAAGCAATCCTACCGACGATCGCCCGCTGGTGTCTGGTCTCCACATTCATCGAGGATGTCCTCCACACGTGGTTCCGGTGGTCAGTTGTGAGGGACACTTTGGAAACCCGATGGGCCTGTGGGGATGTATTGGCTAATCTCTTGGCCGCAATCAATATGTTGTCTCAATTGATCGCATCCGGGCTCGTGTTGACCCGCTATCACGTGTCCATTGGGTGTTACGTACTCTTCGGCGTTGTTGTCTATCAGGTAACCATCGGACAGACGCTCCCAATTAGAGATAACTTATTTTCACTGTTCTGTAAATTCCGTGTATTTTCTAATAGGAAGGGTAGAGAAACAAAATAAGGTAAGGGAAGGTAATCTGTACGCTCTAATTTCCCTCTGTAACCCTCTACTAAATATTTCCCTATAATTTCCCTGTTAATAATTATCTATTAAAATAACAATGTAATTCATATTATATTGTATTAATTTTGTGGTTAATACATTTAAAAATAAGCTTTATAAATATTTATTGCATACATTGTAGTCGTAAACTACTTTTACCAATATTTTTGAATGCTTTGCATTGAATACCATTACACTATTGCTGATGAGGTATACAACTAATTGTGTGATTGGTTGCAGACAGTGGCGTATGGGATCGGTTGGGAACTGAGGATATGGGTGAACACTATTAGTCGATGCGGTGCTCTATTGCTGCTGTTGGCCGAGTGCCAGACGGAGGCGCCCACTCTGTTGGCCGGTGTGCCCAGTGATGGACACAACCGACACAAGGCTTATCTGCTGCTCACCGGAAGAATACTAACGGTTCTCTATTTTGTGGCATATCTTTACGCAGACCTGCAAAACATATATTATTTAATGCAAGACATTATTGTCGTCGTACTCGTGGCGGCCGTCACTATCGGCTATAAGACCAAACTGTCGGCCCTTTTGCTGGTCATGTGGCTCATGGGTTAGTCTCCATACCATTTGAACCATTTGTGTGTTTGACTTATGATTATTGTCTGTATTGTATCTTCTTTTCCACCCAAATAGCCATCAATTGTTATTACAATCATTTCTGGACAATAGACTCAAATATATTAACGTATTATCGAATGATGAAATCTTTTTCTCGGGTCATGTCTGCCATCGGCGGCCTCTTAATGATCGTAGTCTTAGGACCGGGAGATCTGTCAGTGGATAACAACAAGAAGAACTGGTAGTCCCGCGGGAAACGCTGTTTTAGGTCTACCTTATAGACTCTACAATAAAGTTTCACTTAGTTTTCAAAGTGTATTTTAATGCAATTTAATCTAAATTTCAATCTAATATTGAATTAAAATGCAATATAGCCGCAACATGCTCAATCATGTTTTGCTTCTGTGCAAGCAAACTGTAAACTGAAATATTTCACTATTTATTATACTACTTTATAATACAGTATAACAACATTTATTGCTATATTTATTAAGCAAAATATTTCAGTTTACAGTTTGCTCGCACAAACACTTAACATGATTCAGCAATTATATGCGAACATCTAATACTTAACATTAGTGAAGCCACTGTACTGTATATTCCATTGAATTGCAACCTATATTTAAGTCCTGCATGGAGAGCATGATTCACAAGTAAGTAACACAACCTTTCTTGTAACATTATTAATAATCCAGTAATAAATGAACTAGTAATAAAGTCACCCACCCACCCTAGACTTGTGAATCATGCTCTCCATGCAGGACTTAAATATAGGTTGCAATTCAATGGAATATTCACTCTTAGAAGTTAAAAATAAAAACATTTTCCAAATAATGTATTTTAATCTGTAATTTCCGGTTATTATTAGATAATAAATAAATAACAAAATAAATCTATCCTGTTTGGATTCACTTTCAACTCGAAGTTCATTTTCAAAGTAATCCATTTATAGAATATATGAGCCAGGGAAAGCCAGACAGAACTAAGTCCAAATGCAAATACAATATAATGAACTTTAGGTACTCATTGGTCAGTATTAATATTTTATCATATTTAAATTAATTGGATAGTAAATTAATAAAATAATTAATAAGTTTTTAAATTAAATTTTATTTAAAGATATCTTAAATGTTAAACAAAATTAAATTTCAAAGTCTTTTAAATAATTAATAAAATAATCTTTATTCTCATTATCAATATATTTCAAAAGACTTCACATCACGAATTTTATTACAATTTATACGAGATTTGTGTGCTTTTTCTATGAGACTAAAACAGTTTTTAATCATATATATACTGATGAAACATTTAATTAAATTTGTAGGCCTAAAACCACAATCATAATTATATGAAGAATTTACGCCACCATAAGGTGTATAATCAATACGTTTAATTTCCCTTAAATTAATTTCATTATAATTATTAAAATATTTATCAAGCAATGACCCAAAATTTAATATATCAATATTAATTAATCTGAATTTATTACATTTGTCAATCATATCTAAATATTCTGTGGGTAACTGAATTATTGGGCGTTTTTTAAACTTTTGACCTATAGTTCCAAAATTTGTATCACAAATACTGTAAGAGTGTCCAACAATAGGGAATATGTGAACCACAGGAATATTCAGTAAAATTGATATAAACAAGGTAAACTTAATCATAATCCAGTTTTTATTCTGGGCTACACAATTATCAGAAATAAAAACTATTTTATCATAAGAATTAATGTCTAAATTATTTTTTAAATATTCAATCATATAATATAAATATGAAGCCACACTATTTGCAGCCTTAACATACTGGCCCTCGAGTGAGTGGAACATAAAATTAATATCAGTATTATGCACAACAATATTAAAAATATATATAAATAATGACCTTTTATAAAAATATTCATTACAATTTAGTTTTGGATAAGGTTTATTCGAACAATAGTCGAATTCTAAAACAAGATTTTTGTTACAATTAATAAAACTTTTTTTTAATAAATTATATTCTGTTACCTCTAATAGGTGATTTTCATAAATGTCTGAATTATTTGGATTTTTGCTATTAATTATGCAAAAATTGCATACATCAATTTGATATGGTTTAAAACTATAATTGCAGTATGTTTTAAAATAATTGGAAAAACTTTTACAAGATATATTTAAATGTCTGAATTATTTGGATTTTTGCTATTAATTATGCAAAAATTGCATACATCAATTTGATATGGTTTAAAACTATAATTGCAGTATGTTTTAAAATAATTGGAAAAACTTTTACAAGATATATTCAAAACAATATTATTTGTTTCATAGTAATAATTCTTAAACAAATTGAATAATTTTTTCATATTTAATTCTGGGTCACAAAAAAATAATTTAGTACTTTGAGTTGACTTATAATGTGATTTTTTAGTGGGAATCTGTTTTAAAAAATTATTCAATTGAATCCAAACATTATTATCAATTTTATTATTAGTCTTAACAGAACCTCTAATCTCAACAATTTTTGTATCATTTAATAATTTTTGTTGAATAGTAAAAATCCTTTTAGAACTAATTTGATACAAATTCATTATAAAACTTCTACAAACTTTTGTTTTGATAGCATTTTCAATGAAATAATGGGAAAAAACATTTCTTCCCTTATCATTGGATTTATTTGCAATCCTTTCCATACGTTTGGATAAATATTCTCCTTGAAATTCCCAAGTACTAAGTGCACAAAACCTACCATGG